CCAGAGCGTTTTGGCTTTCCATGCCTGAAATACTCTCATGGGCTTTTCAGCCAGGTCCACATGCCTTAAGGGCTGATTCTGAGGCCAGAGTGCTGTTTAGGACATCTGCCATTCTATCGGTCTGCTGGGTATCTCGCTTCCCATGTTGGATCATTCTCTCCCTTTTTTATTCTTTAATCTCAAATTTTACTCATGATTCTATTTTAAATGAATAGAAAAGTGATTCAGTTTTAATTAATAGTAAAATAAAAAATTTTATTTAGATTTTAAAATTTCTTTGGGAACAAGAGTGCTAGGTGAAACCATCTATTGTATGGTCTGGATTTTCCTTTTAAAAATATTGTTATGTGCTAAGAATCTGTATTTTAGCTAACCTGTGTCATTATCTGCTGCTTTACAAGGAACTGGACTATATTTATAACATTTGATGCTCTCACAATACTGGGTCAGAGTGTCGATTTCAAGATTCCTGGAAAACATAAAGCCATTATAACGCTTTTACTTTTGTACTTACCTTTAAACATATGATTCCATTACTATATAATTTCTTCGAATAATGTTTTAAGTGGAAAAGACCCAGTAATAATATCGCCATTTTCCCCGGGAGCCTGCACCGAAACAAAGTGGCACATATTTGTTCCTGCATCCTTCTGCACTGTGATGGATGACAGCAATTACTGGAAAGAACAATATTAGTTTTACAGTTATTGTTATTAACTTAAGGTGCTAAGAATAAAATCCCATATTTCACTACATACTCCAATCACCGCCAAAATATGTGACAAAGGAACATTTTATAATCCCTGTATTTTACACTGCCTGCACAACTAGAAATTGGCAGCGGCTGGCTGGGGAGCAGGCGGGGCACAGGGGGAGCACCCAGCTGGGGAGCAGGCAGGGCGGGGCACAGGGGGAGCACCCGGCTGGGGAGCAGGCAGGGCGGGGCACAGGGGGAGCACCCGGCTGGGGAGCAGGCAGGGCGGGCACAGGGGAGCACCCGGCTGGCTGGGGAGCAGGCGGGGCGGGCACAGGGGAGCACCCGGCCTTCTGGTGAGGAGGGGCCGCAGAGGAAGCCACAGCAGCAGAGGCAGAACTCAGCGCCGCGTGCCGGCCCTGGTCAGGCAGAAGACACGCCCTTCGCAGTCCCGGCACTGGCAGCCAAGGACGCCTCACAGTCACGCAGCACTGTACCGACGGCCCCCATCCCCAAACGCGTCAGCATTTGGTTACAATAGGACTCATCAGCCAGGCCTCTGATCTCCCTCCCACCCCGTCCTGGGCCTGAGGCCACTTCCTGTTGAACCACCTATGGCTGCCCTGCCCCCCTCTCCACACACTCTCCACTGCCACCACCCTCTGCGCTCCTTCACCACGGCCAGGAACTCGAGTGAAGGGGCCCGAGCCACCCCTCCGTGGATACATCCCTCTCCCCCCGCCCCAGGGACCTGGGGTCCACCTGGATTCATTCCCGGAAGTGGACACCCTTTGCCCCTGATGCTTCTACTCTGCCTGTCTTCAGGAGCCAGGAGGTGGCAGGAAGCGGGAGAGAGGCCAGTCTGCTGTCAGAGCCAGGGGGTTTCTCTGGAGGAGGGTCTGCCACCCGCTCAGGGAGTGTTCAGCGCGGGCACCGTGCTCTCCCGGGCCCCTTCCTTCTAGAGGAGACCCCGCCCCTCCCTGCCGCAGGCCTGACTCTCTCTTGGCCTAGCTCAGGAGAAGGCCTGCAGTCCCCTGCTGGGCTCCGCAGCAAAGCTGTTGCCAGGGGACCTCGTGGGTAATGGGCCACCGAGCCTGGGCGGGGAAGTGGGCTGGGCAGGAAAACGCAAACCAGAGAGGAGCCTGGTGGCTGCTTGGGGGACGAGAGCAAAGTGTTTCGCTTCGAAGGAAAAGGGGGAAAGGCAGAAAGGAAGTGGAGGGAGCAATGGAGCTCCAGAACGTTCCAAGGCAGACAGACCTCAGTCCTCTGGCTCCAGCACGGATGAAGGACACCTGGCTGTCGGCGAGGACTTCGTCCTCACAGGCTGAGGCTTGGGCTAAGCTGTTGATCTGGAAACAGGTGTGAGATGCAGAAGTGCTGCCTGTGCATTGAGGCTGATCTTCCCACCACCTGCGCACCTGGATTTGCCGGGGTGCGCGTGGACAGCTGGCTGCTCTGTCTGTACACCCCTGGGGTAACCAGCGGAGCTGCACCGCTTTAAGGCGGGTGTGACAGCAAACACCCTGTTTTATAGATGGGAAAGCAAATCCAAGGAGGCACATCATTGATGACGGCCTCCAAACCAGCAAGAAGAATGAGCTGCACTGCCGAGTTACGTGAGAAAACACTGGTTATCGGGCGACTGAAGAAATGTCTCCAGCATTTCTTCCTCCAACACGAAGGCAGAGTGTGGCTGAGACTGTTCCCAGGGACAGAAGCCCACGGCATGGGGAAACGCAGGAAGCGGACAATGATGGCACCCACAACAGCCTGGGGGCTGCCGAGCCCACCGCGCGGAGGCCAGAACTGGAGCCACCCTGGAGAGGCGCCCAGAGGTTTACCAGGTGGCACCAACAGGTCCCTCTGTCTTGTTTTTAAGGATTTATTATTTTATCTGAAAGGCAGAGTTACAGAGAGAGCGGGAGAGACAGGGAGATCTCCCACCTGCTGCTCAGTCTCCAAATGCTCGCAAGAGCTGCGGCTGGGCCAGGAGGAAGCCAGGAGCCTGGAACTGCATCCGGCTCTCCCACATGGGCGGCAGGGACCCAAGCCCTTGGGCCGTCTTCCTCTGCCTTCCCAGGTGTGTTTGGAGGGAGCTGGACAGGAAGCAGAGCAGCAGCAGGGACTAGACCCAGCGCTCAGGTGCTCCCATGGGAGGCTGGCGTGGTGCCAACAGCCCCTTTGGATCAGGCAGAGGGAAGGCGGATGACACGAGGATTCGGTGGAAGTCATCTGAGAAGGAACCAGATCCCTAGATCCTCTTGCTCAGACAGTCCTCTCCCCAGGCTCTGGGCGTGTAAAGCAGAGCACTCGGGAGAAAGGCGGCCCCCTCCGCTGAGGGCCCGCGGGGCGGGCTGCTGTGCGCTGCGTACCCTGATCCGGGCGGGCGGCTGACTGTGCACAGGTCACCTGCTGGGTGCGCCTGTGGGATGGGGCCCCAGCCCTCCCGACTCGGCGCCCAGTAGTTGGCCCAGCAGCCTGGGCAGTGAGGGAAGACTTCCTGGCACGAGCACACAGCAGACAGACCTGGAGGTCCCGCCACGAGGAGGCGCATCAGG